GCCACACCTATCCCGAAAACGCAAAAAAGTTCGGGAGCACTCCCGAACGCGGGAGATGTGAAAAAAACTTATGAGAGGGCTCGTCGCCACACTGCGCTCTCCAAAGCGGCAGTCTCCAATTCGTCAGACGAGGCCCGACATTTTTTGGAGAGCGCAGATGACCGGCCTCGCCACACCACTCTCGAAATGTGCAAAATGAGAATGAACTTCCCGCTAGAACATGGCCAGATGCACCCCCCACATTTTTGTCTTTTTTCACATTTCGAGAGTGGTGTGGCGAACCCAGACAAAATGGTGGCAACAGATGGTTGTCGGTCGAGGCGCACTCTCCAGTTTGGGACCGAAATGGGAGGAGCCTCGGACCACTCCTCAAATCCTGTGCTTTGCAGGCGGGGCGATCCACAAAGTTCGAGAGCACTCCCGAGAACCGCATTCTGACCGCTCTCCAAATTCTTTCTGACTGCGATTTCGGGAGTTGGTGTGGCGATGCCACTTCTCTCCAAATCGCTGTTTTGGAGATAGGTGTGGCGAGGCCCATACTCAGGGCATGCTCACACTCTACCATCACCAGCCTAACACAACGCACCCTGATAATTAATGTATACAAGCTATTTTTCAGGTTGGTACAGCCAAAATGAGGGTGCGGGGAAGAGGGCAGGACTTTTTCTACTATTTCTGTTCGAGATTGGTGTCAGATACATCCATCCAGTCAGATACATCCATCCAGTCGTGTCGGTCAGATACATTCAGGAAAGTGTCAGTATGAGTATGGGCATAGCCACACCACTCTCTAAATGTGCAAAATCAGAATGAACTTCCCGCTAGAACATGGCCAGATGCGCCCGCCACATTTTTGTCCTTTTCACAAGGCCCTACATGCTCTCACGCTAGCACTTCCATGTACCTATCTCTGATCCCAATTCCAACCAAGCCTGGATGGACTTTGACCGCAATTCCAACCAAGCCTGGATGCATTTGACCGCAATTACAACCAAGCCTGGATGGATTTGACCACAATTGCATCCAGAGAGGGATCAATGGAAGCAATCCTAGTGTGAGAACGCCTTGACACGCGCAGCGCAATCTTGACTCCCACTCACAGGTAACGGACAAAGGACAAAAGTGCTTGGCCAGCAAGAGGGAGCAGAAGAGAGGACAGAAGAAGAAGAAGAAGAAGAAGAAGAAGAAGAAGAAGAAGAAGAAGAAGAAGAAGAAGAGAGGAGGGAGAGGGGGCAGAGGGAAGAGGAGAATGGCTTCAGGTGTCAAAAGAAGATCTTTTTCTTTTTCTTCTTCAAAGAACAAGGATGGCTTATGACCGGGCATTATATTGACCCAAATACAGCTACAATGACCGGTAGTCAATGACCCAAATACAGCAGCTATAATGACCGGGCGTTATATTCGGGTGAAGACGGTAGTGGTGGGGCCTCTTATCACCGCCACTAGCAGAGCCAACTAGTGCTTTTGTTTAAAAAAGAAGAAAAAAAAGAAAAAGAGGACATGTTACGCCCAGCGTCTCAGAAGGGTCTGCTCAGAAACCTATGTGGTTCCACATACTTGGTTCCAGATACTTGTTTGTCTCCATGTCAAGGGACGCTGGAGCCATATCTTAGCTACCATTCCTAGCCGAAGCCGGGTAATGGCCCCGCCGGTATCGTTTTCTTTTCTTTTCTTTTTTTTTTCTTTTTTTTTCTTTTTTTTTTTTGGCCCCGGTATCTCAAATTGCTATGCATATGTTTCTCAATATGTTCTCGAGTAGAATGGGATGCTGGGCCCGGTTCCCAGCTTCCCACGAATAGACTGGAGCACTGTCTTCCCAAAAAAACAAAAAAAGAAAAAAAAAGAAAGGGACGCTGGAGCCGTTTTCGGGCAGGTAATGCCCCCCACCAACAGATGGGGCCTCCCCCGCAACGCTACCTTCTTAACCCGAAAAAAACGAACGGACCTTGTATACGAATACAACGTACGGGGTACGTTGTATTCGAATACAACGTACAGGGTACGTACGTTATAGAAAGAGTTTTAGGGTACAACTTTTCAGAAGCCTGTAGTACCGCCATTGTTTTTATTTTTATGTCAAATTTGGTTGGGAATTTCGCCAAGACCCTCGGGCAAAAGTTGTTTGCATTGCAATGTTGTACAACATACGTTTTTTTCGGATTTTTTACTGAAGTTTTTTTTTTAAATCGAAATTCTGAAAAAATCAGTAAAATACTAAAAAACATTTTCATCCTCGTTTTTATTTTTTTCTCGCATTTTCTCATGAATTTCTATAAGACCCTCACGTTATTTGTATTGCATTTTTGTATAACATTTTATTTTTTTGGATTTTGTTTATTATTTTTTAAAAATCGAAGTTCCAAAAATTTGAATACAACATAAATACAACGTACAACGTACGTACGTTATATTCGAACGTAAGTTCTATTCCGGGAAAAAACAAGCGATTTCTGAAAACCGGGGCGTGGTCCCACTAGCAAAGAGGATCGGATCGAATGCCTGAATCTGGACGAGTTTACGGAGATGTGCAGGAAATCGAGATTGAACTGCTTTTCTGCATCTCTGCATCTCTGCTTAAAACACATCCAGATTCAGGAGCTCCATCCTATCCTTTTTGCTAGTGGGACCTCGGCCCCGATTTCCAGAGGTAAATTCGAATAGAACATACATACTTTTCGGGTTAAGAAGGTAGCAGTGACTTCTCTTACCAGCACTTTTTTTTTTTTTTTTTTTTTTTTTTTAAACACATCTTACCAGCACTGCTAGTGAGTGCAAGGGCTGCTTTAAAATAAAAAAAAAAGAAAAAAGAAAAGGGAGGGCAAAGTAAACGCAGAAGGAAGGAGGGAAGGAGAAAGACGAGGAGCCCAAAGCGGACACAAAAGAGGCCTCTTCCTCTTTTGGGCCCCTCTTGCTCTTCGTCTTTTTGAGCCCTCTCACTCTTCCTGTTTCGGGCCCCTCTTCCTCTCCTCTTCCTCTGTTCGAGCCCTTTTCCTCTTCATCTTTTGGAGGCGTCCTCCTGATCCGCCCTTGGCCATGAAGAGGTAAGAGACGATACAGAAGAGGGAGGGGGCTGGGGGAGGCAGGGGAAAGAAAGGGGGGGGGGGGGGGGGGGGGGGGGAGGGGAAAGAAAGGGTGGGGGTGGGGCGTAGGAGGAGGAGCAGCAGGGCGGGGTGCCGATGGAAAAGGGCGGAGGAAGGGGGGGGAGAAGAAGAGGACGAAAGAGGAGGAAGGAGATAATTTCTGGTCTGAAAGCAAAATTAGGCAATCTGCAAAAAGATCAATCTTTCCTAAAGGAGGTCCCGTCATGACTTGGGAAAAAAAAAAAAAAAAAGGTCTCGTCATGGTCATGCGAGGAGGAAGCTGAAGGGGGCGGAGGAGAAGAGAGACGAGAGGGAAAGGGGCCAAGGGAGGGGGTGAAGGCGGGGTTAATCGAGGAGGAGGAGGAGAACGACAAGTGAGAAAGAGGAGGCGCGCGGCGGCGGTGGAGGAGGAGGAGGAGGAGGAGGAGGAAAAGGAGAAAGGTTTGCATGAAGGAAAGAAAGAAAAGAGTAGGTGAAAGGTGGGTCCATCGTTAATAACCGATGACGTCAACGTTTTGGGCAGACCGGTAAGCAGGCGGATGAGCGGGAGGAGGAAGAAGAGTGGGAGAGCACATCGTCAATAAGCGATGACGTCAACGCTTTGGGCAGGCCCATTACGCTGTCCAGGGTGCCCACCATAGCTTCTACAAGCGGTGATACGAGGGGGTGTTCGACAAGCAGACCCCCTGCCGCCCAGAACACGGACCCTTCTTGAATAAGTTGTTCGACGACCTGAGGGGGGATCGGATGGAAGTAAACCTCCGCTTTATCTACCCCTCCTTTGCGGAAGCCAGTCCTGAGGTCGGTGACGAGAACAGCGCCAACTGTACAAGCTGGGGAGCGGCCATAGCCATCGATGAACTGACGAGCTTCTGCGGGCGTCCTCGGCTTCTCTCTTATCACCCCCTCATGCATCACCACCTGATCGGCAGTAATAAGCAGACAAGGCACGGACGACACGTGGCGGCGTCTGCGTCGGCCACGTGGCAGATCAGGAGCAGCATCGGAAACAGAGACGACAGTCCCGACGACCTCCTTCCTTTTCTCCTCTTCTCCTGCTTCGTCTTCTCCTCCTCCTCTTCCTCCTCTTCCTCCTCTTCCTCCTCTTCCTCCTCCATCGCCATCTTCGTCGTCATCATCATCTTCTTGAAAAGGAGAAGGGGAATTCGACAAACGGGCAAGGAGAGCGTCTGCCTTGGCCTCGGCAAGCGCCATAACCAGATCTTCAGCCTTGTCCCGACGTATAGCAGCCTCGTCGATGTCTGGTTTCATGATGATGAAATTGTGATACCCCATCTCGCGCAGAATGGCCTGTCGTGTTTGCGAGGCGGATCCCAGAATGATTCGCGGCATCACTTTTCCTGCCACAACCAGATCTTCGACTTCTTTGCCCATTATACTGTAATACAGAAGTTACCTCTAATCCAGCAGTAAATCAGAGAGAGAGAGAGAGAGAGAGAGAGAGGCAGAGCGAGAGCGAGAGCGAGAGAGCGAGAGAGAGAGAGGTAATTACCTCTAATCCAGTAAGAGAGAGAGAGAGAGAGAGAGAGAGAGAGAGAGAGAGAGGTAATTACCTCTAATCCAGTAAGAGAGAGAGAGAGAGAGAGAGAGAG